AAAAAAAAAAGACGCAAATTCTCCTTATGTTAGTAAAGAATTTAATGCCACCTCAATTAACTTTTCCATAGAATTTCCTTTGGAGAGGTGGTGAGAAGCCTTAACAAATTTATACTGGTTTTTGTCTGGAACCATAAACATGTAAGAATAGTCAGGAAAACCGTAACTAGAAAGGAATAAGCAGATCAGTGAAACAAAAGCAACTGACCTCAACACAAATGGGATTGATAAGAAAGGGGGCGTGGCAAGCCCGTGGGCAGCCGGGAGGATGATTTCAGGGCTTAAGGTGACCCTTACAGATGATTGGCAGTTGTGGGTCAGAACAGGAGACATGGCAGGTGGATGCTGAACCAGCCCTGGGGAGATGGAGGTGGGAGGGTCTCTGCAGGGTGATTGTCCGACCAGTCAAGTCCTTGTTTCCCTTTCTTCCCAGGTCCTGGCCATTGAGGTGAACACCCCAGAGAAGTTCAGTTCCACTGCAGATGTTGTGATCCAGCTCCTGGACACCAATGACAATGTCCCCAAGTTCACCTCCCACTACTTCATTGCCAGGATACCCGAGAACGCCCCAGGGGGCTCCAACGTTGTGGCTGTCACGGTGGGTTGGAGGACTGGCCCAGTAAATGGCCCAGGGACTGGGGTGGGATAAGAGGTCTTGAAAAGTGAGACCAATCCAGGTTCTGGCTTGAATGGCAAAGCCCACACTCATTAGCTGTCCTTGGACTGGGGACTTGCCCTCTCTTGGCCTCAGTTTCTGCATCTACATAATGGGGATGCCATCACCTCACAAGACTGTAGTGAGGGCATAATCCCTGGCACAGAGCAGGGGACTCACCTCTTTTTCCTTCCTCACTTGTGAAGGTGGAATAAATGCTTTCCAGATCTAAACTATTTGGTTCCTTTAACACTTGAGAACTCCTTGGAGGAAAACTAGGACTCCAGCACAGGCTGGCAGATCAGTTGCCCCCCCAGTTGGGACAACCCCTAAACTCCCTTGCTTTGCCATGAAAAGCAACACTCACACACAAGAGCTGCCAGCGTGTTCTGACAGAGAGGCACATGCCACCAGGAACTTTCTCTCTTCCAGGCCGTGGATCCAGACACAGGACCCTGGGGCGAAGTCAAATACTCCATCTATGGGACCGGGGCAGAGCTGTAAGTCCTTTCAGAACCCTGGACAGAGCCTCAGGCACCGAGGCTTGGGAGACTGATGGTGGAGGGACATGGGAGGGATAGGAGTCTGGGCTAGGGAGGTGAGCAGTCTGAGGGATACACTTGGTGAGGAAGGTCTTTGTCACAGCCTAGAGCCAGGGCTGGGCTATGGCCAGGACAGGCCACGGGAGGAGAGGGAAAGGCTGCCATTGGGATTGTTAAGTTCAACTGTGATAGATGGATGAGTTCATGGGTGGATGGATGTGCTTCCCCCAGTCAGAAAACAAGGAGGGGAGGGAGTAGGTGGGACATCTGTGATGAGTGGCAGGATGACTCACTGCTTCGTGCAGCCCCCGATTGCAGGGGCGTGTGTGTGTACGTGCACATGTGCACACCCATATGTGTATGCACACCCATGAGTGAAATCTCTGTGCCTGGCAGCTTCCTGATCCACCCAGACACTGGGCTTATCTACACCCAGCCTTGGGCCAGCCTGGATGCTGAGGCCACTGCTAGGTATAATTTCTATGTGAAGGCAGAGGACATGGAAGGCAAGTACAGTCTTGCGGAGGTGTTCATCACTCTCCTGGATGTCAATGACCATTATCCCCAGTTTACAAAGAACTTCCAGAGGAAGACGATGGTGCTGGGGACTCCTGTAAAAATTGAGGTAGGTTTCAGAGACAGCTGAGCTTCCCTAAATGCCTGGTTAGAGCAGCTACAAAAAATATTGGGGCATAAGAAGTTAGTTTCAAGTAAAATTTACCGGATTCTTACCATGAACAAGGGACTTTAAGGCATTTTGCATATTCCCATCCCCACCCCAACCTAGAAGTAACTTCTCTTTTTGGGGGGGACAGTCTCATTTTGTTGTCCTCGGTAGAGTATCATGGCATTGCAGCTCAAAGTAACCTCAAACTCTTGAGCTTAAGTGACTCTCTTGCCTCAGCCTTCCAAGTAGCTGGGACTACAGGTGCCCGCCACAATACCCAGCTATTTTTTGTTGTAGTTGTCATTGTTGTTTAGCTGGCCTGGGCTGAGTTCAACCCACCAGCCTTGGTGTATGTGGCTGGTACCGTAACCTCTGTGCTATGGGCACCCAGCCTAGAAGTAAATTCTGAGAAAGAACATGTTATCTCCCCATTACAAATGAAAAACTGGGGCTCCAATGAGTCAGATGTGGGGTTTTGCCTTAGTTCATGCAGGTGTTCTGCCTGCCATCAGAGCAGTGACTTTCCCCCTGTACTTCACTGTCTTCTCCATGTGGCAAAAAAGTATGAACTCTGAAACCCAACAGACTTGACTTTGAATCCCAAGACCCTTCCTTCTACCTCTGTTTCCTTGGACAACTCACTGAACAAATGTGGGATTGAGGGGAAAGTTCAACTCACAGTAAGGCAGATTAATAAGAAAAAGATTTATTTACTGTGCACATGGGGACAATCACAGCATGATTACCCAGGATCCCAGTGGGATCCAGAAATTTACATCTCATTGTAGAGGGGTAGGGGAGATGAGGAATATAGATAATCTTGTTTAGAGTTCATAAATAGTTACTAGAAAGGATGAACAGATACTTGAAAGAATGAATGGATGGGGAGAAGGAACAGATTGACTTGTAATTGATTCTCTTTGAAAATTAAATTAACCTGAGAGACAGGTATTATATATATATGTGTGTGTGTATGTATATATATATATATTTTTTTTTTTTTTTGAGAGAGAGAGAGAGAAGGTCTCTCTCTGTCTCCCTGGGTAGAGTGCCATGGTGTCATTATAGCTC